CGAGACCTCCGCCTCCAAGAGCTTACTATCTGCCTCCTCCAGTCTCGGCAAGGACAACCCCCCCAGAAGCCCATCCAGGCGAGCCGAATCATAGCCCGGAATCCTGGAGTAAAGGTTCTGATAATAGGAGTAGAATTCCTGTAGGATGGCCTGCGGTTCGGTGACTCTATCCCCCCTGTCAGTCAAAATACATGGAACAGTCGTAAGATTCCTCTGATCCGCAACCAACAAGGCCAGGAATTTTCCATTTTTGTCCCCCCGTTCAAACAGCGACTCACGCAGTTCCCTTAGGGAGCATCTAGTCATCTCAACGTGTGTGATACTCCTCACACCCCTCGGCCAGGACAACGAGCCGTACGCGCCACTGCGCAGGCACGGCGCGAGACTCCTCCCACTCTCGTCCGGCGTCCGGCGGTGTCAATGCGCAGGCGCGCCTCGAGACTCCGCCCACTCACCCGAGTAGTCGGCATAAAGCCGCGATCCACGTTTTGATCGGCGTCCCACTATTGTTGAAGCAGGACGCTGATCAAACCAACAGCCCTACTGCTCCAGGATCCACCACTGAAGGAGAGTTGCTGCGGACGTCCCTCCATACCTGCCATAGCCACAAACAGCAAGTATTGCTACCATAGCCATAGGGCTATGGTAGGGAGATCTCCACAGCAGTTCCTACATGCCTAATCAACTGTATGCCTTACTGCAACCTAACCTATCGCATAAATATATGCCTACACAACTACTTGCCTTACTGCAACTTAACCCATAGCATAACCATATGCCTACTGAACTGTCTGATTCACTGCTACTTAACCTAACGCATAGCTATATGCCTAATCAACTGTATGCCGTACTGCAACTTAACCTATCGCATAGCTAAATGCCTACGCAACTGCTTGTTTTACTGCAACCTTAATCTATAGCATAACCATATGCCTACTGAACTGTCTGATTTACTGCACCTTCACTTATCGCATAACTATATGCCTAATCCACTGTCTGCTTGGTAATCAGTTACACTGCCTCCTAGCTATACGCCTGTTTATACTGTCTGCCTTGTTACAGGTGAACCTCAAATATCTCTGGGTTCAAGCTAGTTGCTAAACCGACCCATAAACTACCCACCTGCTTCACCCGGGATACCTACCGTACGGGTGAAACGCAGGCTGAGGTGTGCTAAACGGGGTATGATGTGAAGCAGCTCTCTCCAAGCCTTATCAATATCCTGGGCATCGGAGGTAGAGCTGCGATCTGATACCGTTCCCTCTAAAAGCAAAGCCAAATCCACAGCTGCGGTCCAAGGACCTTGTTAACCCCTGGGAGTGTATTACAACGTGATGGAGGTTAAGCGCCCTTCGTGCCACCCGGAGCGCCTCCAAGGATGTCTCCCCAGGGGAGGTTGCGAAGGCCGCAGCAGACTCCGATTCCGTCTTCTGAAGTTCATCTAGAACTGCATTAAATTCTACCCGGGAAGCCTTGATAGCGGACATGAATTCCCCACATATATTTGCCTTAAATGCATCCCAGACAACATTGGTAGGGGCAGTACCCTCATGTAATTCTCAATATCTCTCCATAGCAGGGAGCACTCTGCTGGATACCATCTCCACGCTCAGCCAACTCGGTGACAACCTCCAACACCCGGGACTCCTATGGCCCGGTAGCAACAGGGAAACTGTGAGCGGGACATGGTCCGACAGACCACCAGGTCTGCCCCAACCACCAGGTTAAGTAGGTCCCTGTTACCAAAGGCCATATCTATTCGAGCCGATGAGCCATGAGTGTGTGAGAGATGTGAGTATGCACGGTGTCCCGGGTTTTTCCACCTCCAGACTTCCTCCAACCCAGCCGTGTCCGCCCAGGATATAAGATCTATCCCAGCAGGCCTGGCTACATTAGAGGAGTCCAGGGAGGGGTCTAAAAAAGTGAAGTTGCATGTTCCCACATCTCACATCAGGGCATCTACGAGCAGCGGCCATGATTTTATCCCTGTCCCTGTAGTTCAGGAGGCGAGCCAGAAATGGACGCGGAGGGGCCCCTGGCGGTGCCCTACCCGTGGGAACTCGGTGGGCACGTTCAGCCACGAAAGTAGGGGGCAGCTCATCCAGCCCCAGGACCCTCTTAAATTAGTCCTCAGCAAACTTCACCGGATCCGCACCCTCTTCACCCTCCGGCATCCCAACAATGCGCACATTGTTCCTACTCATGCGGTTTTCTGCATCATCGACTTTGGCAGCCAGGAGATGGACAGTGCGCTTCAGTTCTGTAAGTGTAGCAGTATTTCCATGCACCTTGTCTTCCACCTCTGACACCCTGGTTTCTGCGGTTGTGATGCGGGTACGGATCTTATCCAGATCATGGCGGATCAGAGTGCACTCTGCCGCCAGATGATCAATTTTAGCTGTGAGGGTGACTTGGCATCCCTCGATCGCCGCCAGTATGGCTGATGTCCCTAGTCCGGCTGGTACTGGTGTATTTGGGTCCCCGGGCATAGAAGTCTGCGGCGAGGCAGCATTCACCCCCTCCGCGGCACCTTCCTCCATGTCCAGCCACTGTACAGGAGACGCAGGGACGGAAGCCGGCGAGGCCAAGATGGCGCCGGCTGATACCACGCCTGGGCCCTTTGCCTTACGAGCGGATCTCCGAAGAGCTGCGGCCCGCCTACGAGACTTAGCGGACATAAGTCTGGTCCCGGGTAAGTCCTGCACAGGATGGGGGACAAGTGGGGCACTGAAATTTCGCCAGGCAGGAGAAAAATCAGGATACTAGCACTGGAAGCAGCGGAGCTCCACCAGGCACGTGTGGTCAGCTTCACATCGTAGCCACGCCATACAGATATGCATTTGAGCCCAGCAATAAACAGATTACTATTTGTATGTGATTTAGAGAAAGCTGTTCCACATGAGGTAAATCGGGCAGACTTTTACTTTATATAGTTACATACCGTAGTATTTGAGGTTGAATAAAGACATAAGTCCATCAAGTCCAACCTATTGCATGTATGCCTTTATGTTTATGTTGTTTATGGTATAGTAATATCAGTATTGCCTTGAATTTGCATCTTTATAGTTATTTTTGACTACAGAATACAATACCTTTTTGATTCTGCACATAGAGTTTTATTTGTATATCGGTCAGAAGGAGTCTTTGGCAACAATAGCCATTGTATTGTTCCAGCAGAGATACTGCACTGTCTTCAGAAACAAGCCTTATAAATATGATTGCAATGCTTTTACTAAACCACTGCTATCACTGCCATCACCTTTTGCTGGAGTTGTGAGGCCAACGTCCCAAAAAGCAGTGCAACTTTCAGATACTTCCTTTGTGTAACATAGGGTAGTATATGCACATCCTTCATTCAGATTTACTAATTTATATATCAAACACATATTTAGATACTTAAAGGAGAACTATGGGGTCAGTGTAACGGGAGGCCACAAACTAGCGTCCTCCCGTTACCCTAAGCTCAGTATACCGCGAGCTACAGCTCACGGAACACATTATCCCTCATCCTTCCATTACCCCTCTCTGCAGTTGGACACACATAGTTGCCATTCCGCAGCCAGTTCCATATGACACATAGTGCAACATTGTCACGTTCTCAGACTCCATTACATTAGGCTGTAGAGCTCCTGTGTATTTTTTCTTTTGACCCCCAGTTGAGAATACCCTTGTCCCCAGATGCAGTACTCACAGAAGTAGTTATTGCAGCATTGAACAGATCCTGAGTCCTTGGATGCCTTTTAACTATTTATTGAAGAACTGTGTACTGAGAAGAGATAGATATGGCTTGAATACCCAAAATAGTAGTAATAATAGATCTTACACATCTTGAATGGCATACAGTCCCTGGTGGAAGGTCCATCTTCTCCCTCTCTATAGGCCAGAAGTGTCTCCATTCCCACAGAGGTTCTAGTGTGTACTCTGCTTCAGGTCAGACTGTAGCCTGGACGGTTCCTGTGGTCCTCCAGTGTCCCCATGACCTTAGTTAACAATGGGTAGAAAATTCAGCAAAGTCTATTTAGCACATATTATTCCATGAGGGTAGGTCTTGAGAGCTTAGCCCTCAGGCCTGGGCAGTGGCGAAGCAACTGAGCAGCAACCTCCCTACATCTGTATGGGTCACAGCACATAACCTTGAGCCTTCCAGATCCCAAAAACAAGTATTTTGGTTTTGCGACTAAATCTCCAGTAGAGAAAATTGCAATGTATTTTCGTCATAGTTTTAGTCCTATTGACTTAGTTTCTATTTGGTTTTCATCAGTGAAAACATGCAGATGACGAAAACTATGACGAAAGCTTTAAGTCGACTAAATTAACACTGCTACTGTGTCTGTGTTGTGTGCATGGACAGACCTCTTAAAATGGACAAGTAATGTCATTCATTCTGGAGATGTAGAAAAAAACAAAGCACAGCGGGCATGAGTCATGCATGCTTCACTTTGTTTTTACTAGTGAGAGGAGGCAGAGGCAAGACCAGGACCAGAAAGGGGGACCGGGGTGCTGGGTGCCACCTGGGACGATCTCAGTGTTCTCGGCACATGGCACTAGGACACAAGCAGCCAGTGCCAGGTGCATTAGTTCCTCTGTGCACCCGGCAGAAGCAGAGTTATCTCTGCCGGACAAATGAATTAGAGTCCTGGCAGGGATGTGAGAGCTGTGCCTGCTGCTGGAGTCTGCATATGTAAGTGCCTTCTTTTCCTGTACTGCCAATCTGCCAGTGCCACCAATGCAAGGTGGGAGAGCTTAACAATACCACTGACCACCAAGCAATGCAAGGGGGAAGGGATTAATTAACCCCCTTGCATTGGTGGGTGGTCAGTGTCATTATTAATTAACCCCTTCCCCGTTTCATTGGTGGGTGGTCATTGGCATTGTACATTTCCACTGACCACCCTGCAATGGAGGGTGGGGGAATAGGTTCATTAATAATGACACTGACCACCAATGCTGGTTGTTATTATCATTATTATACAGCATTTATATAGTGCCAACTGTTTGCACAGCGCTTTCCAAAATGTGAAGGGGAGACAGTAAAGTTACAATACAATAGGATTAGAGGGCCCTGCTTGTGAGAGCTTACAATCTTTACTGACCACCAAAGTTGGGGGTATTTTTGCTTCCACTGGCACCAATATTGTGGTTATTATTGCATCCATGGCACCAATGCTGGAGGCTATTTTTGCGTCCACTAGCACCAATGCTGGGGTTATCATTGCGTCCAGTGACACCAATGCATGGAGTTATTTTTGCCTCCACTGGCACAAATGTTGGGGGTTAATATTGCGCCTATTGAACCAATGCTGTGGGGTTTTTTCCATCCACTGGCACCAATGCTTGGGGGGTCACAGTTTTATATCTTTGTACTGGGCACCAGATGACCATGTCTCTGCACTGGGAAGAGGAGCAATGGGCAGGAGGAGGAGGGCAAAGAGGTGCCCTCAACATTGTTGGACACCGCTGCCACCACCAGGATTTCCCATAGAACTGGAGACCAGCCTTGCCACCAGAGGAGTAAATGTTTGTATGTATGTGTTTTTATATGTGTACGTGAATATACTCAGTGTCACTGAAATGGTTGACATGTGCACCTGGCTCCCACCTGTCCACTATTCCACTGATGTTGACAGTGCCTGTAGGTGGCAGCCAGGTGCACTGTCAGTGTCACTGGAATAGTGGATAGGTGGGAGCCAGGTGTGCACACCTTGCCAGAGACATTCTCATCTATACACCATTCCAGTGAGTTACAGTGCCTGTAGTTGGCAGTGTCAGTGTCACTGGAAAGGCGTGAGCACCTGGCTCTCACTTATACACCATTCCAGAGACACTGAAAATCCAGAGGCACTGTTAGTGCCAATGGAATGGTGGATAGGTGGGAGCCAATTGAACTGTCAGTGTCACTGGAATAGTGTACACACATTGCCCCTTGATCCCACCTGTCCACCATTCTGTAGACTCCAGACCTATCGCTTAAGCGCCTCCCACAAAGTGAAATAGCTAATAGCAGGCAGGCTATTGCCTGCTACTGCCTTCTATCAATTAGCAGAGGAGTGGACCTGAGAAAGTTCTCTCTCAGGTCTGCTGCTCTGTGATCGACATCAGTCAGTGGGCGGAGCAATAGCCAGAATCTGGCACCCAGATTCCTATAAGGCCCTCTGCTCGCAGACCCCCACAACCACCAGACCAGGGTTGTGGGGAAGAGGCCCTTGTCCTCATCGACATGGGGACAAGGTGCTTTGTCAGGGGGTCCCCCTTGGCAAAGCACCCTCCCCATGTCAAGGGAATGTGGCCTGGTATGGTGCGGGGGGGGGGGGGGCGCACTTTCGCCCCTCCTTTTCTGCCCTGCCAGGCTGCTGCTTGGATTAGGGTCTGGTAAGGAAATTTATGGGGGACCCCACACTTTTTTTTCTTTTTTGGCATTGGGATCCCCCTAAAATTCCTACCAGTCCTAAAGGGTCTGGTATGAATGGGGGAGCCGCATGTTGTATTTTTTATTGTTTATATGGACTTTTAAAAGTTAAAAACACTTCTGCATTCTGTGACAGTTGTCCGCTTCTTTGTTGGCATTTAGGATGCGAGTCCCGAATGTCAGCAAAGAGGCAGAGAGAGCTGTTACAGAATGATGCACAGCTCTGAGCTTCTATGTTTACATTCTGTAACAGCTTTCTGCTACTTTGTTGACATTCAAGATGCGAGTCCCGAATGTCAATAAAAAGGCAGAGAGAGCTGTGACAGAATGACACACAGCTGTCCTGCTCCTTTGTTCCATTCCGGGAAATATTTTGGGTGCATCCGAATTTTGTTATTGAACTTTGGAAATTGGTATTTCTGTCATTCACAAGCATCCGAACGTCTAGATTTACAGAAATACTTACGAATGTCAATTCGAAACGAAACAAATTGCCCATGTCTAGTGCCACAGTATTAATCCAGTCGCCAAATCTAAAGGGGTCTCTATTGGTATACATAAACAATGCCTCCTTAAGGTAGTGGATTCCAGGATCGATCCATTGGGGAGATATCTATTTTTGAAGGTGACTTTCACCACAAAAAACTATACAATTGCTAATATGTACTTACCTAATTCGTCCCAGGTCCATTCATTTTTTACAGTATTTGTCAGTTTTGGAGTCTTATTCTGAGAGACCTATTGTCATAGGTGTTGACTGAATTGATTCCTCCACTGGTAAGAGCTCAATTTCCTTTGCGGACCTCAATAAATTATGACGGAAACTTGCTTCATTGTGGCTTATGGACCTATGGCGAACCCTACATCCTAGAGACACTGATTATACATTTTTTTTCTCCGGTACATAAGACCCATAGTAGAATTGACTATATTTTTGTTTCCCAATCAGCCTTGGAAGCTCACCCGTCGGTTGCTATAACAGCTAAAGTCTGGTTGGCTGCTGTGAAGCTATAACCAGGGTCAAAAGCATTATGGGTCAGTGCCAAGATTGGCCAGTAGAAAATATGTCCTTTAATTTATCAATTCAAGCAAACTAGAATTCTGGGAAATCACTGTAAATTCATGTCCAGATAAATCTGAAGGTAGGTAATAACTGGATTATTAAATATTTGCCACATGGGACATTCGCTGATAAGGATACCATTGAATCAGCAGTTTTGTGTTTAACAAAATTTAAGAAAAAGGCCTCTAACCATGTGGCAAGGTGGAACTTAAAAAAGCAGGTG